CTGTTGTATCGGTAGGTCATTAAAATAATTTCAGGAAAATTATTTCTCTGATTAAATCATCAGGACGTTTAGTATTTCTTCCAGCCATGGCCACGACCGCCTCCGTAACCCCCTCCGTAGCCGCCGCCATAGCCTCCACCATAGCCTCCCCCGTATCCACCACCGTAGCCTCCGCCAGCCCCGCCTCCGTAGCCGCCACCAGCTCCGCCTCCGTAGCCGCCACCAGCTCCGCCTCCGTAACCGCCCCCATAACCGCCTCCGTAACCACCCCCATAGCCTCCGCCGTAGCCTCCACCGCCGCCGCCGCCGTAACCTCCACCACCGCCGCCGCCCCCGCCGTATCCCCACTTACATTTCTTGCATCTCTTTTTCCAGAATGCTGAAAAATGATCATAAAAAATCGAGTAATGTCGGAGAAAATGGATTATATTAATGCCATTTTTTTAATACCCCTGTATGTTTAAAATGATTTAATAGAAAATAGATATCTTCTCTCTTTTTTAAAAGATAACAAGAATTTATTATGAAGTTGCAGGAATAATTCTTTTACAAGATACGCGTTGATTTGAATTCTGTTACATTTGTTTGTACATGTATTTGGTTTTTTCTTTTCTTCAAAATTGTAACATTTTTAAATGCATTTAAATTAGCGATATAATATTCAATAGAATTGTTAATTTACAACTATTATTTTTTAATTTACCAAAGCTACGTCTCATTTAATTACAATTTATTTAAATATTGAATAAGAAAAAATACGTACAAATCCAGCGACGAAAGTGAAAGTTTTATATATATTTTTCCGTCACTGAAAATATGAAAATTTTCACTTTACCTTCACTGTTGCAACACAAGTAAACCAGGTAAAAGAGCAATGGCGTAGAATTTCATTGTTGCGAACTATTTTCTGTCAGAACAGCAGATGACTTCGAAAGATAATGGTGGTGATCTGAAAATTTTCTAATTCGGCAGAGTATTTATACTATTGAATAAACTGTACAAAACGTGACTTGCACGGAATGCACGAGTACCATGTAGTATGTTTTTCGTTTGAAGTGCGATTTATTTGGTGCATTTTCTTTAAAACATGCAAAAATAATATCATATTAATGCAGATCGATCATTTAACTGATTTATTTGTAATAATATTTTCTACTTCTGTTAATAAGTGAATGGGTGCAGCAAACAGATGTTCTTAAATAATTAGACTCGTTTGAAGATATGGGCTATTTCCTTGTTATCTTTTTTTCCAAAAATATTCATTTTAAATTTCATATTTTACTTGATCAAGGCTACTACATGTACAATATGTTGTTACCTCTGACCATGTAACTATGCATTCTATTCGTGCCTTTTTGATGAAGATAAACAATATCATAATACAGTGACATACAAGTATGATTTGCCTGCAGACGACATAAAAAATAATTATCATTTTTAAACGATCTTTCGAATGTAGCTCAACGCTGTGTATTGAATCTTTTTATATTAACACTAAATTTAAAATAAACCTTCATGCACTTTTTAAATGGTTAAAGGTGTAAAATCTTTAAATAGCCAAGATTCTATGAAAAGCTCAACTTATGCCTTACGTCAAATACATAAAAGGTATCTTGGCAGTCTTGTGCGCTTGTGATGGGCTAAAAATGACCAATGAAATTTCATTTTTATTTTTACCCAAAGGGGAAAATCAAACTAATTAGGGCGTCTCTTGGAACCCAAAAAACCCTTTCCATTTTAAAAAAAGTTTAATTTAAATTTTTTCCCGCTTGTTTATTAAATTTTTGGGGTTTTTTCTTTTTTCATCTGTAAAAGGTTACATTTGGTTTATAACATAATTTATTTTAGTTTGATTGTATGGGAAGCTATAAGCTTATAGACACACTTTTGATTTAATTCCTGGAACCAACCAGTACTGAACAAAGATTGTAAAATTTCTTGCCAAAGGAAACAACGACTTGTCCCTGACGGGGTTTGAACCCATGCGGCTAGCGAACATTAGACTACTAGTCCGACCACGCGGCCATGCCGCCACTTAATGATACTTTATATGCGTCTATAGCGAAGTTAGATATAATATAAGGAAAAAAATAAGAAGAAAAAGTGACAATATTCTTTCCGCTTAGGATTCCGGTCGCACTTAAACTATTTTTTATTTTTGTTTTCACACTTATTTCTCTTTATTTATATTTTTGTCTTATTCTTTGATTTATTCGCATTATCTTTTTTTTATTTCCTCTAAATCATTATATTCACTTTGACATATTATAACAACACACACACACATTTCAGACATGACATGTCAAGTTCAGACAAGGTATTTCCGATTCGATCCGATTAAATTGTGATACAAATATGATTATGACTACTATCAAATTTCGAAAATATTCCTTAATTTATTTTTCTGATGTCCACAGATAATGAAAGACATCTGTTAAACTTATCAAAATATATAATGAAAGACAACTGTTAAAATGATCAAAATATATATTTTGATAAGTTTAACAGTTGTCTTTCATTATCTGTGGACATCAGTCTACCGAAATTATTCAGAGTTGATCACCTACAAAAGTATGGTTTTAAGTAGTTTTGTCCTTATGTCTCGATATATTAGGCAGACAAGATGAAAATGATACTCATCTTAAATTAGCTCTGTAATAAATAGACAACATTAATAAATTTGTTCCAATGTAATGGGAAATGAGTTCCGTTTGGTAAAATACGACACCCAGCCATTAAACAATATTATGCAAAATGGGAAATGTAAACGAATGATTTCTGGTTATTTATAGCGTGAAATAAACATTAAATTATATCTGATGTCGACATTCATTTTTGCGAATAAAATTGAAGGAAATGCATTTCATTTGAAGATTAAAATCACTAAACCCTGTCAACAAAACTTGTAATGCACATGCTTCGCTTCAAAATGCCGCTATATTAAAACGAAAAAATAACATCAAGGTGAACAAATCGGTAAAAGGAAATCTCGGAACTTAATATTTACGTTACATTTAACACTAAACAATTGACAGTGGTTCATTTCGTTTTTAATCGTTGATACTGTATGAATTGATCATTGTTTTCTGAATAGGGTTTTATTATTTCATGTTTCGAAAAACACTTTGCCCATGTCGAAGGATGGCAACCCAGATAATAATTCAATAATTTGTCCATTGTAGTTTAATGAGCAACGATAACTATAGTCTTTGTAGCTATAGAAATTGTGGACCTTCTTCCAAAGTTGGTGCCTATAAATGCCATTTATTGGGTAGAATAACACTCTACAGATTATGAAAGGCGTCTACATACTGAACATATCTTGATATAATCATTAGGATTAAAGGATATGAAAATGACTGACTTCATACAGATACAACAGTTCTACAATATAGCTAATAATCACGGTATGGTTGACTGAACCAGCTGTATTTCAATATGAATACATACAAAGCTAGAAAATGCGCGCAGCATTATTTTCTGCATATTTAGTATCAGTTGCTTTATCAAATCGTTTCCAATCGTTATCGGATGGAAACATTCATTTGCACTGAAGGTGTAATTGTTAAATTAATGTATTACTTTGTATTTTCCTAGGAGTCTGTATATACCTCATTGGTAATAAACTCTAATGTGGTGCTGGGATGTTTCATGAAACACTTAATGCGCAAGTGAAATAATCTTTTAACTATCTTCTCCCCGTCTAAGTTACACAGCTTTCCGAAGAATAACATTTACTTTTGTCGATTTCTTGTTCAATTGAATATTAACGTATAAGACATAATGCGCTGACTGTTTGCGAAAGCCGCGGTAATGACTGCATATTGTTCATAAAGTTGATGTTTCAAAATTCTAAATTATACCAGTTCATGTTAAATGTTGAATTCTGCTTAAGCCGGTGCTAGGGGGCGTGGACGGTAGTTTGCACTTGACAGTACCGTCCAATGAACAGGCTCAATCAAACCGAGCCTGCAACATTTTCTTTTTTGCCGCGTTGGGCTTTCTTTAGGGATTCTTATTTCACTCTATTTTATCAACAATCAATTCGGTTTTCAAAAAGAATAAATCAACAATTGACTGTATTTATATTTTACATGCTCTTGTTAAATAAATACTCTTACTGAAATCGATTGGGAAAATGTTCGACAGAATTGATAAAGTTTTTTGTGGCGAAAATAAATGAATGCAAATGTTTGCTCAAAAATTGTATTGGTTATAAAGTCACTGTACTAAGCAGTTTAATTGTTTGTAATGAACTCTTACTTTATAAATTCCAACATTGGAGTGTAACGCTGAAACTTAATATCAATATTTGTGCCAATGCATATGTACTGTTTTAATCACATTTAGCCTTGTCGATTTCTTCCAAAATACCGGAAGTTACGTACAAATATATTTCCTTTGTGTTACATGTGTGTTCATGTTATAACATTGATGGCCTAGTTGCCTCTGCAAACTTAACATATGACACTCTGAAATATAGTTGTTGGATTGGGTGTTAAGACTCACCAACACAAGGGCATATGGTGACTTCCAAGCCTAGCTGTGGAGGGGGACCTCGAGTACTCCTCTCTGCGCAATTTGAGACAAGAACAGAGACATGACTAGAACCAAATTCCTGGAAGGAACACATGGACATATTGTGACTTTCCAGCTTAACCTTTGGAAGAGGACGCCAAATCCTCCTCTGTAAGCTAATTCAGGCAATGAGCGGGCACATGAGTAGAGCAAAATTCCTGGCGGGATTTGAACCAACAGCGGCGGTTAGGGGCAAGTGATTTGAGACCAAACGTATTATCCACTCAAAAATAAAATAGTTGTTAAAAAAGTTATATCAATGAAATGATCAGAGAAAATAATTATGAAAAAAAAAGAATGTTGAAATAACTGCAACAGTGATATATTTATGTCCTTTTTAACAACCAAGTTTCTTTCATTAATACCCTGTTAATATTTTCGAATCATTAGACGATAACTAATGCGCAGTTTGCTCAAACTTCCTTGTTTATTGAAAAGTTTTAAAGTTTGCAGATGATCGCTTCATTAATTTCGTCTTGTGTTTTCTATTTCAGTATATACACTGAAATTACAAAATATAACACGTAAAGATGGATTGTACAGTGATATCTTTGTTACTTACATACTTGTATCTGCCTACAGGTATGTTTATAACTGCTATAAACTCGTTTTTTTTTTTATTATATTTCTTTTAAATTCTGCCAGTCCACAAAATTTAAGGGAAAGTCAAGTCTTTCAAATTTTGATATCAGAAAAGAGAAAAATGTATATAATAAACAGAAAATTCAAGTTTTTTCTATAAATTCATGATTTATTTTCATCTTGTGGCATGAAAATTACCATATTTCACTTGTGGCTACCGCCACTCATGAAATATTTATTTTCATACCACTCGATGAAAATAAATTATGTATTTATAGAAAAAACTTGAATATCCTCTATATATTCACAAATACTTTATTTTCTTTCCTGGTGTATTTTTGACAGTTGCAAGTGAAGTAATTAGTTGTGATAGTGGACAATGGGGCATCAACTGCACGAGCACCTGTCCAGATTACTGCTCACCCTATGATTGCGACAAGAAAACTGGTTTTTGTTACGGATGTATGACCGGTTTCCATGGAAAATATTGTGATATACCATGCCCTTTAAAGTGTATCAAATGTGACCAATACACTGGAGAATGTGACACATCATGTTCCATTAACTGTAACGGTTGTACTACGTCCACCCGTACATGTTCGTCTTGTAAACATGGCTGGTATGGAAAAGCGTGTGAACAGCCTTGCATTTTAGGACCAGGGTGTGCAAGAAGCGTCTGTTCGAAGTCAAATGGCGATTGTCCTGTTTGTCACAATGGATGGTGCGGACCGAATTGCAAACATCGATGCCAGAAGAACTGTTTTGGCGCATGTTCTAAAAGGTCTTGCAATTGTATTCGCTGTGTTTCAGGAAGGTGGAGTAGATATTGTCATAGGAAATGTACAGGAACATGCGAAATGTGTGATAAATCTGTCGGGAAATGTTTGCTTTGCCCGGACAAATATTGGGGGCCTACCTGCTCTAGCCTCTGTAGCTCAAACAATTGCGAAAGGTGTGATGTAAATACAGGAATTTGCAAAAAGTGTAACGCAGGCTACTGGGGTCCAGACTGTGAGAGACATTGTAACAACTGTATTGACAAAACATGTGATATTTCGTCAGGCTTGTGTGAAAACTGTCAGGAAGGATATGCAGGCGAATACTGCAACATAAGCTGTGAAACATCTAGGTGTTCAAATTGGTATTGTAACAGAAGACAAGGGTTCGCTTGTTCATCTTGTAAAAAGGGCTATTGGGGTACATTTTGTGAAAATAAATGTTCTGGAGAAAATTGCGGACAGTGCAGTAAAGATCGGGGGATTTGCATGGCGTGTACCGCCGGATATTGGGGTCATTCCTGCGAGAAGAAATGTCCAATGAACTGCAGACTAAGCTGCATCAAAAGGTCAGGTGCCTGTAATTATGTATGTGATTCTCAGTGCATTACGGATACTTTTTGTAAAGCAGGGTATTGGGGAGCTTGGTGTGAAAAAAAATGTTTTGAAGAAAATTGCGAGAATTGTGATGTTTGGCCTAACTATGGGCTATGCACAAAATGTAAGCCTGGGTTTTGGGGACCCGACTGCCGGAATAAATGCTCTCCTGATAAATGTATGGAATGTAACATAGATGATGGCCACTGTACACTGTGCAATGACGGATTTTGGGGGGAAAACTGCAGTTTACTGTGCCATGGTGAATGTCGTTGTTGTGACGCTATTTTTGGCAATTGTGTTCCAGACAAATGCTCGGGTATTACTGTAACACCAAATGCAGCAATAGGTGAAATCTCAGGTAGCCGTATTAGATACTTTGATGAATAACATAACTATGTAATGTAAGAGTTGTTACTTATTTACATGTATCTGTAATTGTTAAGGTTAAAGTGTTTAAAAGTCTATCATAGGAAACTTTAATTTGTCACCTGATTATGAAATATAGTAAATTTATAAATGGCTACATTTTATTTTAGAAAATAACACTTTGCCGATTGTTGGCATTGTACTGATGATTTGTTCAATCGCCAACTTGTTTGTTTCCTTTATGAGAAGGTAAGTCTAAATTAATGTTTTCATGAACCTCAATCTGAATGGAGTAGAGAAAATAAGAATCCTCAAAGATAGCCCAACACGAAAAAAGTTAAAATGTTGCAAGCTCGGTTTGATTGAGCCTGTTCATGGACGGAACTGTCAAGTGCAACATTTATACATGACATGGTAAAATTATGAACTTAGAAACTTCCTCAGATGTGTTCATACGGCGGTTATCATGCAAACTTAAATGTGACACAGAAGTGCCATTCCATGAAAAGCCGTGTATGGTCCCCAAGTAATAAAAAGCGTTTGCCCAAAACGAGAAAACAAGGGGGAACTGAACAAAATGTAATTTTGAAAGGGGATCTGAGGTTATAGAGCCTGCATATCACAAATAAGACGTCAAAAGACAAAATTAACAAGCAATAATCATAGTATGGCAAGCAATTCATAAGTCCCCTACCGGTTAGAACCCCAGCAACATTCTGAAGGGCCAATGGTAATCGAATTATGTCATTGAATGAATGAATGAATGAATGAATAAATAAATAAATGAATGACATGAATAAACTGAAATCTTTTGAGTTCTTAGTTTGTCTGTATCTAAGTAATATGTTAAGTTTTCCTAATTATGTTTATAGAACAGATAATCAAAAGATTCAATTTTCTCAGGATGAATATGTATAACTTGTGTTTGAACTTTTTTTTCTATTTTAAGTAAATTTGTTGGAAAAGTTCAAATGACTTTAAAAGTGATTTCAAGAAACAGTTTTTAATAACAGACAGACAGACCAACTGACAGAGACTCTGGGGATAAATCTTTAAACATCCCTGGTTGTTACCAGAATATAACATTTTTAAAAGCAACATTCTGAAACTAAGAGGAGATAACTCTTGAAATAAAGATGCTAGACTTATGAACATTTTCATACATGATGTGAGTGCAACAAAGAACAATTATCTCAAGTTTATAGAAGAAACCATTTATAGTTACAAAAAAGAACAGTGAAAAAATAAATATATACCATTTATAGTAACAAAGAAGAAAATTATAAGAAAAAATCAAGTAAATTTCAAGTTGAATTGAAATTAATCATGGAAACACATGTCTTATAAATCTAATCACATATGAAGTAGGTCTTGATAATGAATGTCTTTTTAAATTTGAAGTAAATCCATGGAGAAATAAGGAAGTTAAAGAATCAGAGTAAGAAAAATTCAAAGTTTTAGAAAAAGATAATTCTGGAAATATGGACGCAAGATTTATAACCCTTGTCATATTAATATTATGATGTGGGAGCTTCAAGGAAATGATATAAGAAATGAAGAAGTTTGAGTAAAATATAATAGTTTCTAGAAAAAAAATCTAAGTTCAAGGGGGACATAATTCTGAAAATAGCCAAGCTAGAGTATTGAACCTTCTCCCAAATGACATGAGTAAAATTAGACACATATACTCGTATATGAAGTTTATAGTGGATACATTATGAAATAAAGAAGTCATGAAAACAAATAAGATTTTTTTATATGAAAAAAGAAAATATCATCAATATCTTCATAAAAATTCTAAGTTCATGGGGGGTAATACTGATTTTTTTGTGCTAGAGTTGTAAACCTTGTCACATATGATGACGTTGATGATCAGAAACATATATTTTAGTTTCATAAAAATGTTTTCACTTGTTTTTGAGTAATGACAAATATTGTTATATTTGCCATATTTTAAGTCTATTTGTTGCCATAGCAACCAAATTTTTCAACATAGGAAAAAAAAAGAATAAAAAGACGTGCATAATCACCAGACTTCAATGTATCCATATATCAAGTTTCATAAAAATATTTTCAGTACTTTTTGGGTTATCGCGGGATCCAGTTTATGTGTAAAATTAGCCATATTTTTAGTCTATTTGTTGCCATAGCAACCAAAGTTTTCAGCATACTAGGAAGAAAAGAAAAAGACATGCATAATTTCAAGACTGTCAGCTATCTATATGTCAAGTTTCATTAACATATTTTCAGATCTTTTGCGTTACCGCGGGATCTGACGAACTGACTTACGGACAAACGGATAGATGGACAGACAGACAGACGGACGGACAAACAGGCAGACGGACAGAGGGTAAACCTAAAGTCACCTCCGGTTCAACCGGTAGGGGACTAAAAAGCAGGCAACATGTCCGTAGGGTGATTCGACATTATTTAAGTAGGAATATTGAAACCACCGAACTAGAAAATGCCAAATAGTTAAAACTAAAAATACCACAAAAACAACAATAATGTCGTGTTGAACGATCTTTAAGAATCGGAAATATAACATCTCTGATTGAATGTACGGAAGTTTAGGTTCGGTAATGTTGGCAAACCCAGATATGAACACTTCGATGCACAAAACCTATACGCAAAATATTAAATAACATGCCTTGTCATATATTGTAGGACATTATATGCTGCTAATGCATTACCTCTACTTTGAAGAGTATTCAAATAGCCTAGCACTTGTCAACTGCATTGAAAATGAGGGGCGTGGGTTCAAACCCCAAAAGGGGCAACTGTTTTTCTTTCTTTTTTTAACATAATCTATGTATCTCTCAGATCCCTTAAGGCAGAAAGTTTTGTGTTTTAATTATGTAAGTATTGTAGGTATTTATTTGCTTTATTTTTAAAATTTAATAAAATAAAAACTACAGCGTAAAAGTATTTTATATTTTGCAAGATCAACCAATATACCTTTGAGAAAATTTAGGCGAACTTTGAATACAGCCCCCATGCTGGTAAATTCTAGTGATATTTTGAATAAGGCTTTTAGCATAGGAAAATGGTCAAATAAGTGTTTAAAGTGGGTGGGATAGGGTAACATTTTTATACATATTAAAACATTCTTGTTTAAGAACAATCATTTTGCTCGTGTAAGTTGTTACTTGAATGTTATTATTTGTTTCTTAACAATGAGCAATAGGTAAACATTTTTCATAATGATGATATTATAGATTATTTAGAGTTTCCTAAATTCTGGAAAAAAAAAACAACTTTCAAATAGCAAAGTTTTAGTTCAGAAAAAAATGTCCATTACTTATAAACCACACGGTAAATTTGATTTGAATTTTGCATATGTTATAACATTTACCTTACAGTCGCAGAAGGCGAAGGTCAACTAAAACTACTGCACATCATAAGAATATCAAAGATGCTACAGTGTCATACAGAGGTAATATTGTCTTACAATTAAGTTTAATAATCAGTAACAAAATATATACTGAGTATCTTGTTGTGTTTTTTTCTAAAGATTTGCTGCGAGCTTTTAAAACTTTATTTAGGCTAAACGGTTTTAATAATTAACGTTTTAACTTTAATCCCACCAATAAATGCAGCAAACAGATTTATATGAATGTTGCATTTTTTAAGAAATTTTATCGTTAAGTTGTAAGCAATCTGACTAAAACAGCTCTTTGATAACGTTAATAATGCTACGCATAAGGTTAGAAATAAAAAGGTATGAACAATAGTCAGATTGAGTTGCAAGTTTGGACTATATCCTGCCTTCTTAGACAAGAAGTAAATGTTCATTTCGTACACAAGGCAGCGGAACATTCTTTTGTTCAAAACATGACTTTGTTTATCCTCGGGTAAAAACTTAAACGTCAAACAGTCTATTTCTATAAAACTTCTGGAAAAGTCCTTCCGGACTAATATAGATCTAATTGTAGCTATTTCACTGATATCTTTCATGTCATTGTTTTCAAGTTAGTAAGAGACGTGAAAGTAGTGCAAAGACCGACAATTGCTTGAACAGACAAACTGAGAAATTTTATGTATGTATATGTCAGTAAAATAACTTATTGTTAGTATTCTATCAATTTCTTTAAAGTGAACAAGGAACGGGAAATGACTAAAAAGGAAGGCCAGTACACGAATGAGACGTACAACGAAATAAACATTGACAGCAGACCAGAAACTAAGTATCAGAACATGAATTTATTTTATTAAACATGAACGACTCTGAAGATGTTGAAAACCGATTAAAATGTGTGGAACACTTCGGAAATATCTAGACTTTGAAATTATGCTAAGATACTGTTATATCTGCCTACATGCACTTACCATACTATATGTATTATAATGTGACTGTATATTTGATAAAAATGGCCAAATTTTATTGCAATGCAAATTTAATCATTTTATGAAATAAATATGTCACGAGTGACAGTGGCCACGGCTGAGATAAGATAACTTTCATACCATGGGATAAATACTGTATATTTAGGGAAAATGTAAATAATGTGTTTATCCTATACTTTTCTCTTTTTGACGTTGTGATTCGATAGACTTTCATTACATTGTGTGTACTTGCAGAAGAAAAGAAGAAAGTAGTCCCAGTTTCACTGCAGTGAAAAAATATTTGTTTACAGTAAAAATACGGATAAATAAAAATTGCTTTTTGTATATTAATCAGTGTTTCTCGATATTTCATTTTTAAATATATTATTTATCTTATTATTAGCAGACCGGAATCTAAGTATGAGAACATGAATGACTCTGAAGATGTTGAAAACTGATTAAAACGTGTGTAACACTTTAGAAACTTAGATTATGGAAACATACCGGGGAAACTGTATGCACTTACTATACTATCATAATGTAACCGTTTATTTTATCAAAGTAGAAACATTATATGTAAATGTAAATTTAAATAGATTATCGGATAATTTTCCACTATAAACATTATGAAGTCTAAATATTATAATGCGCATAGCATAAGGCAGAATAAATTAGCGAAACGTGCACTTGAACCATTACCATGTTTGTTTGTTTGTTAAATATGTAAATCTTATATTTCATATGATTCATAATATTAAGAAGTTCGTCACGAATGAAATATTGCGTTAAAATACTAGAACGTTTTAGATCGCTGCATAAAGAATCCAAATATAACTTATACGATGGGTAACGCCTATATTTGTAAACTACATGGAAAATGTTAGCATAAATACAGGATATTCAAGTTTTATAGTAACAGGATATTCATTACATCGAGTGGTATAAACATAAACATGTCACGAGTGACAGTGGCCACAAGTTATATAGGAAAAATGAATGTTTTGTGGGTTGCGTTCATTGAATGCCGCCTTTCCTTGTTGATCTTGTGTTTATTATTCTTATCTCTTTTTTACCTTGTGATTCGAAAGACTTTTCCTTTAATTTTGTGTATTGTCTGATTTAAGGTAAACCACCCCGAACGCATTACCTCTACTTTGAAAAGTTTTCAAATAGGCTATAATTTTGCAAGATCAACCAACATACTTTAAAGTACTATAAAATAAGGCAAATTTTGAAAAAGCCCCTGATTGTGGTAAATTTCTGGGATATTTTGAATAAGGTTTTTGACATATGGAAATGGTCAAATAAATGCTTTAGTGAGTAGGGTAGGGTAACATTTTTAAACATATTAAAACATTTTGTTTAGAAACAATCATTTTGCTCGTGTAATTTGTTACCTCAATGTTATTATTTGTTTCTAAAGAATGAGCAATAGGAAAAAGATACTCGGCCGAAGTATATCTGTTTGACATGCTTGAATAACAATGACATGATAATGTTTTCTTGTATCTATAAAGAAAATACCCATTTTGTAAACATTGAAATTAAATTATAACATATTTATATTGAAAATTTTTCAAAGAAGAACAACTTCTATTTAAGTTGTCCCTTTTATTGTTTTAAGTTTGACTTTATAGATTTTGTAATCATCTACAAATTAATCTAAAAAATAAAAAAAAAAACATTATCCTCAGTCATGTATATTTTGTTTTAGAACTATCCTCTACATTTTATTTGATAGTCGCGAAACTATTTCTTACATTTCATCATAGAGCCATCTTAAAAAAATATTTTAGAATGGTTAGAGCTATGCTTTACATTTTATTTTAGAACGGTTAGAACTGTCCTTTACATTTTATTTTGGAAGGACCAATGAGATTCACCGATTTTACAAGAGGTCAAACTGATAACAGACTGACTTCGTCCGAAAAAGTGCCCTATAATAGCAGTTTTAGTTCAGAAAAATGTCCATAGCTCTCAAATGACTTGATAAATTTTATTTAAATTTTGCATACATGTGACTTTAAAGGAATATAACTGTCCTATATTGTCAATTTTGCAGTTCCTTATAGTTCCCATTAGGGGTGGTCTGCCTTAAGAAATGTTTCACTGCAGTAAAATATATTACAGTGACAATACGGAAAATGAAAATATGCATTTTATATAATCACTTATTTCTTATATACATATATTTTAAATGTAATTACTTATATTTAGCATTTCTACAAGTTCTATGGATTTGATAAATTTATTTCTTGATGTAAAATATATACATGACTGATCATAATATATTCATAAGGCATTTATACGGAAAACTTGTTTAACGAGGGAAGTCAATTAAATATACGAACTCTACCGATGTGTTTTATTTATTTATTCGTTCATATAATATATTATCAGCTGTCTTCTGTCGATTGTGAAACTTTACCACATTGCCATCAGGCAAAGTAGTTGTGGGTTATTCTAACACGACCCGCATTTTTCCCTATTGAACATAGAAGAAATGAAAGTGTGTGTTATTATGCAACAGATGCACAGTTTGACGTTCTATATTTAGACATGTGACGTAATCATAATACACGTGACATAACCACTAAAAATCCGACGCGCTGAAAATAAGTACGGAAACAAATCAGGCGCAATTTTGCTTAACTATCAAGTACGGAAACATTTATTTGTTGATGTCTTGTTAGAATCGAAATAATATATCCAAATCAGTGATTTTATCGCTTGATAACATCACTGTATGTCGTTCGGATGCGCATAATTATATCACTCGGGCTACGCCCTCGTGATATAATTCCTCGCATCCGAACTCCAAACAGTGATGTTATTGAGCGATAAAATCACTGTTTGGGATATATTATTTCTTAAATATAACTGTCACTGGCAAAATAGAGAAAAATAGAATCTCTAAAAATAAAATTCCAAAATGACAAAATTGAAAATGTTAAAGGCTTGGTTTGATTGAGCTACAGAAAACAACTGTCCACGTCCCCTAGCACCGGTTTAAGTACAAGTCTACATTTTAATGCGAAAATGGTAAGATTTTGAATTCTGAAGCATACGCTGCTGTGTTTGTTTTGAAGGTATTCGATTAATTAAATTGTACTCAATAAGAACTTGTCAAAATATAGAACATAGAAGTAGCGTTTTTGATTGATATTTATAATCATTTGTGCTCTTCGAAAACAAAATAAATAAACATAGAAAAAAAATATGGTACGTTCGTTATAACTGAACTAGAGGGCCCAAATAGAACAGTGTTCATATGGAGATTATCATGGAACATTCCATATGACACGTATAAGCTATTTAATAAAAAGCGGCCAAAGCTCCCCAAGTGAAACAAGTTAAATATCTGTACGCCGGCAGTAGAATTTTCGTTAAAGTCAGTAATTGAATTGACACAAATTGTGAAATATGTATACAGTATAAAAAGTAAGGAAAGACCATATCTTATGCAGGAAAAAAGGAATTCTAACTTCCTTTGATCTTGCATAGTTACGTGTTGTGGCGATCATACATGAACATTTTATGTACACGAGGTCACAAAAATTGCACTGTTTGTATTATTATGAACAAAAGTTCGTAGAACACGAAATATCCCCACTTGACCTTGACCTACTAATCTCAAAATCAATAGGGATCATATACCAGTGATGATTAAATGATTCCAAGCAATGTTTTTAGCATTTGATAAGGATCCATGCTGTTCGCTTACGAACCGTCAAAGAAGTAGAGAAATTGATAGCGAACAGCATGGATCTTGATCAGACTGCGCGGATGCGCAGGCTGGTCTGAATCCATGCTGGTCGCAAAACCTATTGTGTTGGTTTTGTAATGACGCGCCCCTTTTAATATTTCAAGTCTCAATCTTTTTTTTTCAGTGTGAGCGAAAGGAAGATCGCTGAACTTGAATATAAAAATCATGCAAATAAATGGGGTATAAATCACCATAATATTATTTTTGACAATAAATTATATTAATTTCTGATAATATACGTCTACAAACTGCAATATTAGCATTATTCCAATGTAAAAGCTTTTATTAAATATATTATAAATCACTTTCATATTCTTCAATGTGAGCGGAAGGGAGATCTCAGAACATGTGTATAGAAATTATGCAAATAAATGGCGATTAAATTAATATTATGATTATTTTCGATAACAAATTTAATAAGTTTCTAATATTATTCGTTTGCAAACTGCAATTTTATTGTAAAATTCTATTAAAACGTCATAATTCATATTTTTAGAGTCACTTTCGCACACTTTCGTCAACAAAGTCACTTTTGTATTTTAGGCAAACCCCGATGCATGTGTAAACCAAGTGGTGTAAATAACGCATTTTCATTGGATGTTGTTTTTCTTTAGCGAGAACGTTAGTCACCTGATTAAATAAAAGCATTTCGTTTTCATTTTAAATTATTTCATCACGTATTTGTTTTCAGATAATTATTATAACTTAATTATATACTGATATTCGTTCATGTTTAAAAAAGAAATTTAAATGACATTTCTCGCGAGACTCATTCACGCAAGATAAGGCCCAAACAAAATGATCTGGTTGTTTCAGTAACCTGACCGACCCTGTATTTCCGCATCTAACCTAGAACGTTTTATTGCAAAAATCATCGAGTATCATTTAGTGTATATATAATTATACACATACAGTTGAATTTTAATAAAATACTAATTATAGTTTGAGCCGGGTGATGCTCCCCGAATAGGTTTTGGACACAGGAAAGTACACCTCTTGTAGTTTTAGAGTTATGTCCCTGGAAAAAGTTCAAAGTGCAATAATTTCAAAATTAGGCAAGGCAGAGTTACTGTTCTTTGCACTTCACGATTAATCAATGTGATCTATCAACCTACAAAGTTTCTTGTTGATATCTCTTATGGTTTCCGAGTTATGTCCCGGACAACTTCAAAAAGTAAAAATAAACAAAGGGCAATAACTCCAGAATTAAGCAAGGTAGAATTATAATTCTTATGCACTGCACATCTACCCATTGAGATATATCTACCTACAAAGTTTCATGTTGATATCTCTTATAGTTTTACAGCTATGTCCTGGACAAGATTTTTTGTAAAAGGGGAAAGAATTAAAAAAATGAGGCTTAACAGAGTTATGGTTCCTTTGCACTGCAGTTTTACTCAATGAGATCTATCTACCTACAATGTTTCATCTTGATATCTCTTATAGTTTTGAAGTTATGTTCCGGACAAAGTTCAAAGTGTTAAAATAAACAAAGGGCAATAACTCCAAAAGTAGGACAAAAAGAGTTATTGTTCTTATGCACTGCAAATCTACCCATTGAGATCTATTCACCTACAAAGTTTCATGTTGATATCTCTCATAGTTTTAGAGTTATGTCCCGGACAAGATTTTTCTATAAGGGGAGATAATTCAAAAACCGGGCAAAATAGAGTTATGGTTCTTTGACACTGCACAACCCCCCCTCAATGCCCTCTACCACTGTATGAAGTTTAAACAAATTATCTCCAAGGTCCAAGGGTTTTCACAAGTTATGCTCCGGACAAGACAACGGACGGACAGACGGACGGACAGACGGTCAAGGCGCCTACTATATGCTCCCCCGAAATTTTTCGGGGAGCATAAAAATGTTTTTCCGACCTATCTACCCTATTATTTTCAGCAGAATCTCAAAATCATTTTGTTTTGGCCTTATGACGTCAAACACACAGGCCAATATTTTCACATTTATCTTATGTATACCATATCGAGGCCGGCGTGTTATAATGTATGTACCACAAACGAGAAAACAATGGGCGAAATGAAATAAAATGAAACTTTGAAAGAGGATCAGAGTTATTATGAAGCCTGCATTTTGGGATGTTATTTAACATTCAGAACCTTAAGAGGGAACTCTGTACTTTCGTGATGCTTGTCATTATAGACATTGACGAATATAGGTACATGAGCTTTCCAATTTGCTTTTTGACTACCTTACTGGTCGCAAACATCTTGAGCAACATCTTGTTAAAACGTTCTGTTATCCCATGGCTTCTCACTTGCACATCTGTCGAATGTACGACTAACGCTTGAAGTAAGGTTGTGTATTCAATAAGCTGCTAGTGGAGCATATCCCTTGGCATGGTATGGTGTAGTTCGACTGTTTTCGATGGAGGCTTAAGCCAGCAACAGTTTTTGTCGTTTCAAATTGGCATTCTTTTGGGATTCCGCTTTTCTCTATTTTATAGCCTCCTTTTGAACTTTAATGAGAGAAGGTTGAGGCAGATAACTTCCATTTGACAAAAAGACTCATTGGAAACAAATTTTCACAATACCATTTGTAAAAGTTGCGTCTTTCTAACCCGGGCATGGTGTTCAATGTCATCAAACAAGGCTCTGAAAATATCTCCCACAAGGAGTTTTGATGAATGTGTTGGAGTCTGATTTCCCAAAAAAGTCGGCGTCTTCTGTAAACGAATCCATGTATAAGAATAAGATGATTCCAATGGCGCACGTAAACACTATGTCCCGGAAATGTTTTGGTCTTTCAACTTAGTCGGAATATAATTACTTTGACCCAGTGACCAATGATGAATGCGATTACAATATCTGTGTCTAAATCCATCTCAGTACATTGTAAATTCATTCATAGTTTTGCTTTAATTCTATTATTTCATTTTCTTACTTATGTTCTATTTTTATCATTGATTTATACTCTACGTTTAATCTTAATATTATATGTGCCAATCCGAGTTGCTTTAAAAGTTGAAGCAAAAAATATACCGTTATGGTTACATTTTGATATGTCGATTTCTTTCCTAAATACCGGTAGTTTAGTACATTTATATTTCGTTTGTGTTATATATCTTCTCATGCTTTACATTGCATTGATGGCTTAATGTTGAAAACTTAACACATGACACTCTGATATATAATTATTGGATTGAGTGTTAAGACGCACAAACACAAGGACAAATGGTGACTTTCCAGCTTAACATGTGGAGGAGGAACTCGCATACTCCTCTGAGCGTAATTTTAGGCAAGAACAGACACTATACTAGAACCAAATTTCTGGCGGGATTCGAACGCTCAGCGGTTAGGGGCAAGTATGTTTTAAGTCAAATACGTTTACCACTCGAAGATTTAATACTTTCAAGAAATATCAATGAAATAATCAGAGATTAAATTCAACATTATTTTGCACATGTTTATCATTAAAATATGAATGTTTTATTAACCAAACTAGTCCTATTGATATTTTTACAGCCATGTTTCGTTCATTTATACCCTGGTAAAATTTTTTGAATAATTTGACGAAACTTAATGCGTAGTTTGCTCAAACATCCTTGTTTATTGGAGAATTTTAAAGTTTAACAACTGATCGCGTGTTTACTATTTGTGAAAACTATTTAAGTACATACACTGAAAATACAAAAATGTACAAGTGACGATGGATTGTACAGCAATATCTTTGTTATTTGTCTACTTGTATCTGCCTACAGGTATGTTGATATCTGCTTTTTTTCGGGACAAAATGTTTTTGTTTTGGCTTCTTTAGCTTTTAAATATTTCTTTTAGCAAATTCACAAGCATAATCTAACATCACAATATACATCCTCCTCACAAATGTATGGAATGCAACGTAAATGATGGCCACTGTACGCTTTGCAAGGACGGATTTTGGGGAAAAACTGCAGCTTACTGTGCCATGATCAGTGTCGTTGCTGTGACGCTATTGTTGGTTACTGTGTTCTGGAGATATGCTAGGGTTTAACCGAAACACCAAATGCAGTAAAAACATTAGGTAAAATCTCATATAGCCGTTTAAGGTATTAGCACCCTAATGCATTACCTCCGCGTTGAAGAGTATTCAAATAGGCTAGAACTACCGTTTACTACATTGAAAATGAGGGCCATGGGTTCAATCCCCAGAAGGGTCAACTTTTTTGTTCTTTCTTTTTTTCTTTTAACATTATTTATGTATCTCTCATGTCCCATTTGGAAAGAAAAAAGTGTTTAATTTTGATTTTTTAATTTATATAGGTATTTATTGGCTAAATTATGCTAAATCTAGTAATAAATATGGTACCTGATATTTTCAAAGTGTAATATAATCAAAACTAGACGGTAAAAGTATTTCATATTTTACAAGATCAACCAATATACTTTTTTAAAAATTTAGGGAAACTTTGAAAACAGGCACTCATTTGGGTAAATTTTAAGATTGTTTTAAATTAGGCTCCCTAAGTAGAAAAATGGTCAGACACGTGGTAAAAATGGGTGGGGTAGAGTAACATTTTTATACAGATTTCATAAATTTTAAGTAGAAACCATAATTTTGCTTATGTGGATTGTTAGCTGAATGGTACTCTTTGTTTCTAACCAAAAATTAATGGGAAAACATTTTTCATTAGAAAGTAATAGCAGATTATTTAAAAGTTCCTCATTTCTAAACTAGAAATGTGTCATCATGCCACGGATGCCCCCGCATGCAGCCAAAATTTCAGATGGTGCATTAATTTTTTTTTTTCATTTAAAGTTCAAAGCCCTTAAAACTTTTCAATGTTAACACAAACCATTTTCATACAATGTTCAAGGCACTGAAATTATTCAGTCTTAACCTTTTAAAAATAGCATACTGCATATTTGTAGCCAAAATAATGGCTAAAAGTATGAGTGCTGAAACTGAAAGTTCAAAATTTTTCCAACATTCAGGAAAGATAAGTTTGTCTAGAATCATTGAACCACGACCAAATTCAAACTTAAACTGCTTATTCCTAAGATGTATCTATATAATTTTTAAAGTGAAAGGGACATAACTCTGCCAAAAAATCATCAAACCATGACCAAATTCCAACTTGACCTGCCCATTCCTTTGACATATCCATATGTCAAATTTAAGTTTAATATGTAACAGTTGGGTAGATAATGAACAGAAACTGTAAATTTCATATTATTTTCAAAATGAAAGGGGCATTACTCTGCCAAAAATCATTGAACCATGACCAAATTTGAACTTGACCTGCGCATTCCTTTGACGTATCCATATGTCAAGTTTGAGTTGAATGTGTTGTACCTTTGGGAAGATAATGAACGGAAACTGAAAATTTCATATTGTTTTCAAAGTAAAAGGGGCATAACTCTGCCACAAATCATCAAACCATGACCAAATTCAAATTTGACCTGTATTTTTTTCATGATGTATCCATATGTCAAGTTTGAGTTGAATGTGTTGTACATTTGGGGAGATAATGAACGGAAACTAAAAATTTCATATTATTTTCAAAGTAAAAGGGGCATAACTCTGCCAAAAATCATTGGACCATGACCAAATTCGAACTTGACCTATATTTTCTCATGACATATCCATATGTCAAGTTTGAGTTGAATGTGTTGTACCGTTGGGGAGATAATGAACGGAAACTGAAAATTTCATATTATTTTCAAAGTAAAAGGGGCATAACTCTGCCAAAAATCATCGAACCATGACCAAATTCGAACTTGACCTGTATTTTCTCATGACATATCCATATGTCAAGTTTGAGTTGAATGTGTTGTACCGTTGGGGAGATAATGAACGGAAACTAAAATTTCATATTATTTTCAAAGTAAAAGGGGCATAACTCTGCCAAAAATCATCGAACCATGACCAAATTCGAACTTGACCTGTATTTTCTCATGACATATCCATATGTCAAATTTGAGTTGAATGTGTGCAACCGTTCTTAAGATAATGAACGGAAACTGATGATGACGGAATGACAGAATGACGGAAGGATGGAAGGACGGAAGGACGGAATGACGGAACAGGGTAACACTATATGCCCCGGCCATTACATGGCGGGGGCATAAAAATGGCCCTCATAACATCCTAGCTTGAGTTCAGAAAAGTGGCCATAACTTGATTTCCGTACGGTAAACTTTGTTTAAATTTTGCATACAGGTGTACTTTAAGGTATACATCTGACCTATGATGTCAATTTTTTAGTTCCTTATAGTGCCCATTAGGGTCCTAATACCTTAAGTTATCTTGTTGGATAACATGATTATATTTAATAGATGAATTTTTAATATATGCATGCATGTACAAACATGTTAACATTTGTGTAATAATTGTTACGTAAGTAGCTGTAATTGTTAAGCTAAGTGTTTCAAAGCTGATTCATCTGTTGGATATTTCTTTCATTTCTCATAGATAATTTTGTCTTGTCATCTTGTGAAGTACGCAAAATTTATAACTGGCTTTATTTTATTTTAGACATTGACATCTTGCTGATTGTTGGTATGATACTGATTGTTAGTTCAATCGTCATGCTGTTGGTGATAATCTTGTTTATTTCCTTTATTAGAAGGTAAGTCTTAAAAATATACTATGCACACTTTTGATTACATTTTGATAATTTGCTATACAGTCTTTTTGTAAATATAAAGTAAACATGTTTTGAATTCCCACAAAGTAGATCCTACACACTACAATTGGACATATTATGAATACATAGTGTCATAGAAAACTGGCAGTTTTTATGGAAAGGACCAGCTTTACTCGACCAGTAATAAGGAACGAACATGCCCATTCATAGTTTGTACGTTCTTTTATTTAGATAAAATTATGCAATAAAAGTATTTTACTCAAATATAAGCATGGTATATCTTTAATGAAGGTGACATTATGATCATTTTTGTAATGTCAAGTTGAGTTGAATTGACTATATATTTCAAAATATTGACTGTTATAATGGTGATTGACCGACAGGTGATATTGGAATATGTTTAGGATCTGCCTAAATATAAAAAGACATTTTTTATAAATTTAGCGTTACATGGAATTTTCGATAAGTATCAATAGAAATTCCCATGGGCCAAGTGAGTTACGTATCGATCATGGAATTTTTTTTATAAAATTGAAAGCAATAATGGCAAAATGTAAACTTATTTTGACTTTCATCTGTTCACTCACTATATACCATTAGATGGGCATAATGCCAATTTAATATTATCGAGAAGGAAGTTACAGTTCGGTATTGCTTGTGAATATAAATCGGGTTTACTCAGGTATAAAACTTTCGACTACCCGCTTCGATGCACATAATTAATAGCAAAATATTTGAAAACATGCCTTGTCCTGTATAATAGTGGGCTATATGATGTTTATCTTAAAAATATATTATACTCAAATTTTATATTTGAAACTATTGAAATGTGCTGCACTTTCTGTCTCTTTGAAAATATAAACTAAACATGTTTTGAGTTGTTTTAAAATGTACAAAGTATAGAAGGTAGTGTCGTTAACGGTATATAACACATTAGAAACGAAGACATTTTTCTTTTTTCTTTCTTTAGAATGTGCAAACATGAGTAAACTTTTAAATAATGGTTTTGGAGCATGCTATATGCATATTATCAAAAGAAATTTACTTTGAGTATGAAATAAATGACATAAAGGTAGTAAAATGTAAACAAAGTGGTATTCTAACTTCAATAAAAATACATGTACTTAATCACTTTATAATAATACTAATTGCAATACAGCAACTCAAGCAAATTATAGTTAAGATAAATAATCAAAAAGTTTCGTTATTTATCTATGACATGACACCAAAAAATAAAAAAGCTTTTGAGAAATGACAATATAATCATAATAGGCCTTAAAAAGAACTGACATTTCTTTAAAGAAGGGTCAAGTTGAATTGACCGATAATAGGGAATGCAGCTTCATATACATAGTTTTTACATTCTTTTATTCAAATTAGACATATTCAGTAAGAATGTCGTAGATTTTGAAATATTTCTGCGATAAAATTATTTTACTGAAAGATGAGCATAGTATATATTTAATAAATGTCTTCTTTCTTGATTTAAACTGTTTTTAATTCTCTTTTTACACCTTAATTGTTAACAAAATCATTTGTTCTCAAAGAGTTGACGAATTACAAAATTAGCTTTGCAGCAAGCATCAATGCGTTTTGACTATCCTGGCTTAACCGTAGGTTTTCCTGTAATTGAAACCACAGCCGGAGAGGACCTGTCTATGGGTCCAAACTTTTCATATTGAAATAAGTACTACACACCCATTTTGTATTTACAGTGGCGTTATGCCCATCCAAGGGTATTTGGTGAGTGAACAGGTTAAAGTCAAAATAAATTTTTATTTTCCCATAATTCCGTTTCCCATAAAAATATGCTTATGCCTGAAGATTTTGAATATGTTTTTGTCATTTACAGTAACTAACTTATTAAGGAAGAAACTGACAGGGGTTTAAGCGTTCTTTGCCTTCTGATCTGTTTACTGGTTTGTTTCGCCTCAGTTAATTACCTATGGGGGAGGCATAATTTCAGGCTGCATGTATTATATAGCTTTATAGTAACTGTAGAAGAAGCTTCATCAGAATGCAGTTGTGCCGCAAGCGCATAGAATGATGTTAACCAGTTCATTGAACGAGCTCCTACTCCACTTATGGTGGCTGGTTTCTGCCATTTCGTGTTTTCGTGTCTTCGACCAAAAAAGTCGAAAGGCAAAGACATGAAAACATACAATGTTATTGTGGTTTCTGCGACTTTCGCGTTTCGGGGCGAAATCACGAGAACACGAAAATCTGCCGTATTTTCGTTATTTCGACCTTCGCGTTTCGAGGCGAAGACACAACAACGAGAGGATTGCTCTGTTTGGATTGAAATGATGTGCTACACGCTGGTTTGAAGATGTGTCTGTTGCAGAAAAGGCCAATTAAATTTGGCTTTATATTCAAAAGTATGCTGTGGCTACCTAGAAACTTTCTCAAAGCAAACGGCCTACTTGCCAGTCATATGTGAACCTTTATGAATATGTTCAATTCCTTTTAGGCTTGCAAAGCTGAAGTTGTTTTAAAACATTGCCAATGTTTTGGTTCCATTTGTTTAACTTTCCAGACAGACAGACCAATGATGACATTCATCGCCACTTAATTACATGTAATATTGAACAATCTAGTCGGACGTTTTATCAAGAAATTTTTGTTGGAGTTTACAATGAAATGTTGCAAAAATGGATATCAAAAAGAAAGAAAACATTTTGTCAGCTGAAAAAGTAGACATTGCAGCAAAGCAATCTGTAGATGCAGTTGTCAAAGACACAAAAACCACCATGAATGCATTGCTTTTTTACAAAACATGTCAGAACTAGAAATGTGTCCATAGGACACGAATGCCCCTAAATTCCACTGTTTTGTGAATCTACTGACTTTAGGTCAAATGTTTTGGCTACATCTGACACAAGTTGAAAACTCAAAATCGTTTACTAAGTCAATGACAAAAACTCTACAAATGCTTAATAAATCAACAAGCAAACTCCAAAGTGCACAACTACACATGCTTACAACATTCTTTATACTTTTAGGACTACAGGTCAAATACTAATTGAGCTATGCACGAACAAATCTATAATTTATACTAAATCAAGGGCTATAACTCTAATAAAACTAAAAAATGCACATGTAAAACCCCAGGTTCACAGCTTCAGAGTGATAGTAATCATTCTTGTAAAGTTGGTTGATTCTAAATCATGCACTCAAGGTACAATGAACACTACATTTTGCAATGTTTTTTACTAAGTCAAGGACAATCAAGCCACCAGGTGCACAACAACATTTTATGCAAATCAACATTTTCTGTAAAAATTTATGACTCTAGGTCAAACACTTTTTGAGATATACACGACACAAGTTGAAAATTGCAAATTTTTACTAAGTCAATGGCAATAACTCAACAAATACTGAATAAATCCACACACAAACACCCAGGTTCATAACAACAGATGCTGACCAATATTCCTATAAAGTTACATGGTCTAGGTCAAATACTTTTTGCGCTACAGACGACAGGAGGGACAAGGATAAATTCAAATGCCCCCCTCCTATAGAAGGGACACACAAACTCTTAGAAAGATGTCCCTTAAAGTATGAAATAGTAAGGGCCGTGAATGCGATTCTACATATACAGCTAGTAACCCAGTTAAATCAAGTGAGAAAATGGAGAAGGAAAGTTCAAAAACTCATGAAAACAAGAATAAAGTGTCAAATATATGTATTGGTTTTCGTAATTTCTTTCTTTCGAATATGATTTATACATGTATGTTGTAACCAAAAAAAAAAAGTGGCTAAAGTTAAAGACGGGAATATCCGGTTCACGGGTAATTTTTCGGCAAAAGCTCTACACATCCTCGTTTTCTCTGTAAACACTTAACTTCGGGGCCAGATATTCTGTCTGCACTTGCATTCATGTTAAAATATTGTTATGATATTTATCTTACAGACGCAGAAGGCGAAGGTCAACTAAAAATTCTGCACAACATCAGAATATTGAAGATGCTACAGTGTCATACAGAGGTAATATTGTCTTACAATTAATTTTAGTATTCAATAACATATATATACATATATATGTGTGTGTTGAAGGTATCAATATCTTCTTGTTTGAAAATTTATTGATACTAAACGGTTAACACTTTAACATTAATCAAACCAATAAATGTAGCAAACAGGTTTATATCAATGTTGTTGAACATTATTTGTGCAGTTCTTATCGTCAAATGGTAAGCAATCTGATTAAAATCAACTCATAAATAACGCTACGCTACATGTAAGAAATAAATAGATCTTTAGGTTTAGTATGTAAGTTTTGTTATCTGGACTAAAGACAAGAATCCAATGGAACTTTCCTACATTAGGTAGCGAAACATTTTGAAACATTCTTTTGTTCAAACCAGGTGAACGATTGACTTTGTTTTTCCTGGGTTAACAACTGAAAAGGAAGCTAGTCCATTTGTATAAAACTTTTCGAAAAGTCCATTCTAATTAATAATGATCTAACTGTACCTATTTAGTCACTTTTTTCAAGTTAATAAGGGACGTGAAGGAGTGAAAGGACCGACACTTGTTTGAACAGACAAACTGGGAAATTTTATGTATGTATCTTTTTGTCAAATAGATTATTATTGTTATTCTATCAAATTCTTTAAAGTGAGCAAGGAACGGGAAACGACTAAGCAGGAAGATCAGCACACGAATGACACGTTTAACGAATATGGCATTGACAGCAGACCGGAATCCGACTATGAAAAACATAACCGACTCTGAAAATGTTGATAAGTAATTTAACTGTGTGGAACACTTTAGAAACTTAAAATATGAAAACATACTGGGGAAACTGCTACATACATGCACTTACCATTCTATCATAATGTAACCGTATATTTTATCAAAGTAGCAAAATTTTATTTTAATGTAATTTAAAGAGATTATCGGATATTTTTTCACTATAAACATTATGAAGATGCGCATAGCATAACACAGAAAAAAATAGCGAAACGTGCACTTAAACCATAACAAAACATGTTTGGAATAGGCCTGTTTGTGTAATATGTAAATTTTATATTTCATATAATTCATAATAAGAAATTCGTCACGAATGAATTATTCCGTTATTTAAAAGACTAGAACGTTTGAAATCGCTGCATAAATAATCCAAATATAACTCATTCGATGGGTAACGCCTATATTTGAGCCGCGTCACGATAAAATCAACATAATGGGTTTGCGACCAGCATGGATCCAGACCAGCCTGCGCATTCGCTTACAAACCGTATATCAAGTAGAAAAACTGATAGCGAACAGCATGGATCCTGATAAGACTGCGCGGATGCGCAGGCTGGTCTGGATCCATGCTGGTCGCAAACGCACTATGTTGGTTTGTCATGACGCGGCTCATTTGTAAACTACATGGAAAAATAACATAAATACAGGATATTCAAGTTTTATAGTTTACAAGATATTAATTACATCGAGTGGTATGAACATAAATATGTCACCAGTAACAGTGACCACAGGTTATGTAGGAAAAATGAATGTTTTGTGGGTTGCGTTCATTGAATACCGCCTTTTCTTGTTGATCTTGTTTATCATATTTTGTGTTTATTATATACTTATCTCTTTTTTACCTTGTGATTCGAAATACTTTTCCTTTAATTTTGTGTATTGTCTGATTTAAGGTAGACCACCTCGAATGTATTACCTCTACTTTGAAAAGTTTCAAATAGGCTACAATCACTGTTAACTGCATTATTGAAAGAAAAAGTGTTTGGTTTAAATTATATTATTATTTTTGGTATTTATTTGCTAAATAATGGTAAATAATGCCAAATTTATAACAAGTTTAATAAAAAAAAACTACACGGTAGTAGTATAGAGTATGATGGTTCCGGGACACTTTGAAGCCTAAAAAAGTGTTTATCTATCAAACCAAAGGGTAAGACAGCTCGACATAGCTTACCCATCAACCCAAAAAGTAAGACAGCTCGACATAAAACCCCATTTTATTGATTTAAGAACACCCTCAGGCCAAAATCCCCCCGGAACCATCATACTCTATACTACTTATAAATAGAATACAGGCGGGAACCGACGAGTCCTTTTTTATAATTAAAATATATATAAATGAGTTTACAAAAACAAATATATTGTTTAAAAGAACGAACATACACCGATAATGTAAATCCTCAATATGTTACAACAAAAAACGGAAGATTAATGATAAAAGCCGCGTGTGCTTCATGCGGTAAATTGAAATCTAAGTTTGTAAAACAAGGCGGTTAATCATGAGTAATAAAAATGTTTATCCGGAACCAAACTTTTAAATAGTTGCAGCCTATAAATCAATATGTCGTTCCGTATCACGTGTACAGTTTTCCGCTAAAGATCAATAGTGAAACGTCATCCAGAACATTCGCCTAGTGTGCAGCTCAATAGATGTTAAATGCGTTGTTATTATTTCATCAGCCAGGAATACAGAGTGGTTAGACAGAATGTAAGTTGTTTTACCATTTTTCTTTAACAAATATAGTAAATGAATTATTTATTCTTTTATCTAAGAAGTTCTTTCGTTATTCATTAAATTTTTGTTCTTATTTTAGGGCTGAACAATTTGCGATAGAGATGTTTAAATATATAAAATCCCTGGAAGATTTTCTTTCTCGTAAAACGGAGAAGTAATTACGCACGATGAATTTAATGAAATGTGTACTTATAAAAACACAATTGAGTACATTTCTAACATTCATAATTTTATGAAAGATCATGCTCAACAACAAGTTACAGAAGATCAAATGGCTTTGTTGAATAATAAACAAAAAGACTTAATAAGAACAGATGAAATAAAAAAGATTAACGATTTGGGATTGAAATCGTTGCAGCAGGTTCCAGATGTGCAACAAAACCTACGTCAACAAAGTAATAAAACAAAAGCAAAAAAAACATACAATCAAGTGAAAAATGAAGTACAAAAATCATATTCAAAAGATCGGAACTTGGCTGGAGAGGTTACGTTGGAGCTTGAAAACACCGACAGCTGTTTTAAAACTTTAAAAACACTAGACAGACATACGCAGAGTGCTGGAAGAACAAAGTTGTTTTATAATATTCAAAAAGGAGAGGTTTTAAAAAGAATCAAGGATTTTGAAAAAGGAGGTTTTTTAAACAAAATTAAAGAAAACGGTTTACAATATAAAATTTCACACTGTAACTTTTTGATTAAATTGTACAAGAGCCTTTTAGGCTCGTCGGTCCCCTTACAAGTTTTCACTCAATCATTCTAATATAATTCATTGTTCATTGTCATTGCATTTTCTACAAAAGCATTGGAGTGTTATTCCACGGATATTTGATGAATTGAAATGGTAATAAATTAATATTGAATATCCGTGGAATAAGAGTTGCAAAACGACGAGTGTCGGCAGACTGATTTTACCATTCGCTATGTTGAATATTGGAAAACTTTTGTAGAGGCTCAAAACGACGAGTGTCGGCAGGCTGATTCTACCATTCGCTGTGTTGAATATTGGAAAACTTGTAAGGGAAGGCTCTTGTATTGGAAAAACTTTTGTAGAGTCGCAAACCGACGGGTGTCGGCAGACTATTTTTAAACATTAGTGAAATAGTTTATTATTGTTTGTTCATTTTCTTTTTGATTATTGATGTTTAAATGTTTGTATAATATATCATATAAAGGCACTTTTTGTTGTAATAAATGTATGAAATATAAACAATAATAACCACACAGCACACTTGTTTTATCTTGATACTGTATATTGTTATAATTCAAACCTGGAATGTAACTGATTACCTCTTTTGGTGGAGGAAGTCCGAAAGGGTCGAAGTAATTATTTCTGTAATAACACACCCAATGTGTACCCGGTCCAATAAAGTCATCTAAATTTATTATCCCGCATTCTTTACTATTAGAAGGTAAATTATTTCTACTGAAGACGCCTTGAAAGTTTTGAATACCAAGTTGTTTTACCCATTGTTCTATTTTAAAGTTAGATAATGGTTTGTTTAGGAATTTTATTTTTTTTTTACCCTGGGAATTCGTCTATATGGAACTCGTTGTGCATCAACCTGTAAACCCTTGCCACTTAATAATGATGTAATTAAAGGTATTCCTAGAGATGCTGCTAACATACCAAGGAAACCACCATCTTGCCGTTGCTTGTTATTTAACTTAATTACCCCGTCATTCATTAATTGTTTTCTTTGCTGTGGTGTAATAAATGGTAATATTTTATTTCTTTTATTTCTTGCTACAGATACCATACCGTTTCCAAGTATTTTACTTACACCAGTGCTAGCCAAACCACTTAATGCTCCAACACCTAAAGGGGCTAATATTTTTGGAGCCAATTTTGTAATAAACGGAATTAAAGTGTTAAGAAAACCGCCTTGACTGCGCATTTGTTCCCGCGATATCTTAATTTCTAAGCCAGATTTATTCTGTTTAGCCCTATTAATTTTATTTATTTGTGTCTGTGTTAAAAGTATTGGGAAAGTACCATTTAAATCTTCATACTTCAATCTTAAAGTATAAGGGCATTTATCTCTATATGATTTCGCAAGTTTGTGCTTTTGTCCTTCTGATAAATTTATTTTATATTCAACGTAAGACATTTATATAATTTATATAATTATTTTTTTTTCATCAAAGACGTCTGTCTTAAACAATAACAATTTCATTTCCAATAGTATTTAATTGAACTGTTTCTTCATACATTACAATGGCATAGACACGAATAGCTGCAGCTGGCGGTACATTTAATTTTGCATCTAATGTAAGATGCTTGGGATCAGATGCAATTTCTTCTTTTTTAAATTCCAAGTTAAAATGAATGAATCCGAACAAACTCTCAAAGTTTAATATATTTAAAAGGGACCCAGTATTTTTATCATTTTGTTTGTGAAAATAATCTATTACATCGTCATATATTCTCGTTATACTAGAATATTCTGTTTCGGGGTAAAAAACACCATTTCCAACTTCAAGACGACAAGATTGCAAAGTACAATTTCTATTATTAGCATTTAATTTAAAAGTATCTAATAAATGAGGGTTTTGTTCTTGTGAATTACTTTTATTAGCTCTTTGTAAATAAACAAACACATGTTTAGGATTCATTACACCAGCTGTTATTGTAAAAATAATATTGCTTTGTTCTATATTAGATGATTGTGTGACCCTTTCTCGAAGATAGTTCCACTTTTTTGCTTTCAAATAATGTTCAGAAATCAAACTATATCCTTCAGCGTTAAAGATTAACCGAGGAACCCATAAGATAAGTTTAGTAACTATAACTCTTCCATTATCAACTTCAGCTACCCTATGGATTAATTCATTGTCGTTTGTTAATTGTAATGTAATTTGAATTTGGCTAGGGGGCAACATATTTGTCTCTAAACTCCGAAAAAATGAATAATTGTTTAAAGGGATTTTACATTTAATTTCATTACCTCCTTGAGCTAATAATTTTCTTGCAGCAAAACCTTTATTAAATCCAGCCTGATTAGCTCTAGATTCAGCTACATTTGTAGAATCCAAAGCAATAAATTCATTTGTCCCAGTTGTTTCTGCATAATCTTTTGTTAATTCAACTAAATTTCTTACATTCACAACCCTATATAAGTCATAACAATCATATACATTTTTTCCATTTTGTTTTATAACTAATTGATTAATTAATGAAGCCGCATTGTTTATTACAGCAATTTGATCAGCATCATCATAATTAGCTCCGTTTGCCAGTTTATTTATTTTAAAATTTACCTCAAAATACCCATTGAACCAATCATAATATGAAGATCTATCATCTATAGTAAAACTATATCCATTTTTCTGCTGGGAGGCGTTATTGTTCACGATTGTTATTAAAGGTGTATCTAATCGAATAGGTGTTTTTTCATATCTCTCACAGTATTGTTTTGATCGAAACATATATATTATATATCTTTTTTAAATAATCGCCTTCCGGATAACAATTCATTTATTTGTAAATTTATATCTCGTCTTCCTGATCCAGATAACAATTCATTTATTTGTAAATTTATGTCCTCAGTATCCTTCTTTCTTAATTCTTTTACAATTTTATCGCCAACTGGCGGA